AGCTTGGGTGTTCTCCTGGATTCAATCCTGAGCCTGAATGGCCAGTGATCAATGCTGCCCCCTACAAAAAAAGCAGTTCCAGTTTCCAGTTAATGCTAGTGCATTAGCTCTGCATATGCCTTGAGCTGCCTGACTTGGCTACAGCAAGACATGCCAGAGTTGCATCCTACCTGGACTGCAACAGTGTGGTCTATGTGGGGCTGCTTCAATTGAGAAACTGCATCTGGTCTCAAACACTGCATTCTGATTGCTAGCTGAAGCCCTCTCAAGGAAGGCTAGGTTGCTTGCTTCTCTGTTGACCCTCTGCTGGCAGGAAAAAACTGACAGGCAGGCCTTTAGCCACAGACTACCTGCTAAGGACATGGCTCTTACCTGGATATGCTGATTCTTTTTCATGTAAATTGCCATTGGTATTTTTCCTGATATGTTTTAGATTATATTTTAACATGTAACTGATTTAATTATTTTAGTATTTGTAACTTGCTCTTTGGATGCTGTTTTTAGTTAGGTTGCAAGCCCCTTTGGGTCCCAGCCCTGGAACAGCTGGCATACAAATTTGTCTTTTCTTTTTTTTTAGGATTAGATCGGGTCAGTATTGCAGAGTGTGTAGAGTGGATGGAACCCTTTGCTAAAGTAGTGAAAAAATACCCAGTGAAATTGAAGAATTTTAAGAAAATTGCACCAGAAGATAGACATAATATACAAACTCATACAAACTATTTGGACATGCTGGTAAGATTGGTTATTTTCCCTCTCTCCAAAGTCACTTGATTTTTCTGTGATAACACATCTCGAAAGAGGTGCTACTGTATTTCTAGTGTAATGGTGTGCCTTGTTACAAATTCTTACCATTTCAGATGGAAAACCCATATTTATATAGCTCTGTGGAAGAGTTTAAAGTAACTAATGAGGACTCTGGACCAAATTTAGTTGCTTTGATTTCAATTATGAATAAATGGCATGTTAGGAGAGGACACTTAAAATTTGAAAAACAAAAACAGTGAAGGCACCAGTCAGCAAGAGGAATGGCAAATTGGGGTCCACTTGTGAGACCTAACTGCTGATAAAGGAAGAAGTAATAATGTGTTTATCTTAATGGAATCAAATTATCTGCTCTGAGCTCTATACTTTGTTACTTATACTAGAAAATTACTCATGTTCTTATCTTACTGGGAAAAAAGCATAGTATTCTTGAGTAGCAGTCCCTGAAATGATTAACTAGGATGAAAGACTATTATCTGACATGTTTCTTAGTCTACATTTTTACCAAAAATAGAAGTGATTACTAGACCCCTATTCAGGTGTCACTGCCTGAAACTATTTTCAGACCTTCCTGAATGCACGAACGTCTCGGTGCAGGCAGACACCGACTTACACAATGCTTTACTTGAAATAAGCATAGTTTGCATGAACGATGCAACCCAGAAACCATGGGTCAGCCTTAGGCAAAAAATATTACTTTAATATTTAAGAATCAGTAGCAGGCGAGTCTGGAAGAATCCTTATGGCTGATAAAAATACAGACTAGGTCTTGGGTCCAGCCTCAGGAAATGGCTCCTGTCTTCTCTGATGGATCTAGGAATGGCCGCCTGTCCACAAGGGGAGTTAACAAAACAAAAGCAGTTGTCTTACTAATTCCAGCACAATAATTATTGTTGTTTTCAATGAACAGGAGGAAGTGAACTACGAAGCATCCATTTCAGTGCCAGGCCAGCTGTCACCACTGTTTACAGGAGGAATAATCACCCCTCCAAAGAGCTCTGAGAAGTGAAACTGCACCTTCTACGAATGTGTGCCAAATCAAAGAACTCTTATCTTAAGACTCTTGAAGAATACTAATGGAACTTTTTACACTTGGCAAATGGCTGGGAAAAACATCAAGTGTAACAGAAGGAAACTCCAATGCAAACTGTCGTGCACCTTCAAGTTCGCAGCCTAACAAGCTTTCTTGCCAAACAAAGATCAAACATCTTTTGAGCAGTTTAAATTCACAAACTATGAATTTTTAACTTCTTTTATTGGCTGATGAATCCAGTTGAGTCTCTTAGTGGTTTAGCTGTGTGCAAGCTAAGCAGAATGCTACCATGCCAGCTGCCAAAACATTTTGCCCATCTTGGGAGAGGAGACACATTCATCTAAAACGTGACAAAAGAGCAGAGTTGTGCATCTGTTGTGAAAACAAAAGGTTACTAAGTCAACCTTCCTACTTCTATACACTTAAGTAGTGTAGCTATGGAATGAGGAGGAACTGATTTAATCTTTGGTATGAATTATTAGGGGTGAAATGACGTAGTAAACTTTGAGCCTACTCCTAGGAGATGCCAATGTACTCCTAAAAACTGGAAAAACATCTTCAGCAAACAACTGTGCATACTACCTCTTTTGGTGCTACCATGTCAATACAGGAACAAGCCGCCACAATGCAAGGAGGAAAATAACTAGACTGGAATAGAATAGCCCTGACAAAAGCAGTAGGAAGAGCTTAGCTCTGCCTACAGTAATTTACTCTTCATTCTGGTTTGAATCAGTCTATTTGAAATGCATTACAAATTATAACCTCCTTCTGTATAGTCTTGTAAAAACAGAGGAATTTAAGTTTTCTAATAGGAAAATACCACACAGTGTGTTTATAAATATGTATTGTTAAAAAAGTCTCTTGAATTAAATACAATATCGGAGTATACTGCAGGCGCCACATTTCATCCATGCTGTATTTAAAATAAGATTCTAAAAGTAAAGTTTTGCCATTGCTTGAAGAAACTTCTTTTTTCGTCGCTGAGCAGCAAGCTGTAGCACTTCTTCCGGATTACTAGAGTTCAGCTCAGTCTGCCCAATAGCTTTAATCTAAATGTACAAACAAGCAGTCACCATGTTAGCAACCTGTCAGTTGTAAGAACTGCATTTAGATCATCATACTTTTAAAGGAGTGAAGGGTTACGTTAACTACAATTTGGACTGGTAGCTTTATGCGGTGACTGCATAGTGTACCAGGCTTACACAAAGACTAACAGTTTAAGATTAGTCTGAGTAACATCTTTTTTAAAAACCAAAATGTTTTACCCAAGTTTCTGGTAATGTTAAAGGGCCTCTCAAATGTAACACAGTTTAGAGTCTCTGCCTGTCCTAATCTTTCTATAGTTTACTACAGGAAAGAAATCACATGCAGGTAACAAAGTAAAAGCACTTGTTGAAACTTTTTCTAAAACAAATGTAACTTACCGCTATTTGTTTTTTATCTGATTCACCTCGCTTATGATGAAGGTCTGTAATGCTGTTCAGGAAATCTAGAGCACAATGAGCAAAACTATCTAATGTTAGGTAATCTTTACTGAACAAACCTGTACATCTCTTTAAAGTTACATCTCTTTAAAGTTTCAAGACCTTTACCCTCAAAGTCCTTCCTTCTGTGAGCAGTGCTTTTTTTCTTGTTTCTAGAATAAAAGCCATTGTGCCTGCCACATTCTCACTTTCCCCTGTATTCCAGTTCTATTAGATTACACTAAATATTGTAATAATCAGCAACCCAGTTTAAGGAAACATTCATCACTTGATTTTTCTACTATGGAGGAACCTACCCACATGCAACTTCTGCCTCCCACTTGTTTCAATAAAAACAACAACTGGAAAATACTCTTAATGCCCTGAATACAGCTTTGCTTTGATACACCTGTTAGGACTTTCAGTTCTCGATTTAAGCCCCCAAAAGTCTGGCTGGGGGAATTCTTGTACATACCCACATGCAACTTCTGCCTCCCACTTGGAGGAATTCTTGTATGTAGGTTTCTTCCCTCCACTATGACAAGAGTTCTACATTTTCCTCAGCACATTTAAGGATCTATTACTTATGAGATGGAAACTGCTCTTGTACTTTGTTGATCATAATCGTGTGCCATCAACTCAAGTTTAACTTAAGCAATCCTTTCCAGGGATTTCTAGGTAAGACACTACTAAGAAGTTGATCACTATTCCCTTCTGGTCCCCTGGGATTATGCAACTTGCCCAAGGCCACAGAGGCTGGCTCTTCTGGGGCACACGGGGAAACTGAACTCCTAACTACTAATTTCACAGCCAGATACCTAATCCATTAAAGGATTATGCAACTTGCCCAAGGCCACACAGGCTTCCTCTTCTGGGGCACACGGGGAAACTGAACTCCTAACCACTAGTTTCACAGCCAGATACCTAATCCACTAAGCTATGCAGCCTCTACCTAGCTGGTACTTCTCTTGAAAATGCATCCAATAGTATTAAAATTTCCTAGTGTAGCACTCTTTATAAAAGGATACATGTCAAATATTCCAAGATGGTAATATCCCAGATGTAGTCATAATAGGAGTCCATGGCATCATGACTAAAAAACAATACTTGTGTTAGTTTCTGCCCCTCTATTATATCATATGTGAACATTCAAAATCTTGATTACCTGTTTTGCTCTTGAAGTGCTTTAAATGCAGTTTTATAATCTACTTCCCGGAGGAACTGGCATAAAATTGCTACCTGGGAAAAGAAAAGTACTTACTAATACCCAGCTATTAAATTATTACCTCATGTTCAGAGATTTCAAACAGTTCACTATATACTGAAGAAGGCAATACAATTCTACTACTTTACTGTGACAAATTTATTCTGATAGGATTTTTAATGTCTGGCAGTTGGCAGTAGAATACATATTCTTACCTGTGTGTGGCAATTGAGCAGAGAACAACACTTTATCATCCGTTTTATCACCTAGAGACAAATAAGTGTACCATTTAAGATAAGTCAATATATCTAGGCATGGGATTTTTGGAATTTATGGGTTATAGGCAGCCCCCTAAAATGTACAGGAATTTTGTCCAGCTAGACTTCTAAGTGCTTTATTTATTTGATTTTTTTATACCACCCATCTAACCCAGTGGTTACTCTGGGCGGTTTGCATGAAAATTAAAAGCATAACAAACATTACATAATCAAGTGGCAACATAAACAACAAATTAAATAAGACATGTAGAACCTATAAACCACTATTTTTAAAAAAAGGCTGTAGTAAGATTAAAGGCTTAATCAAGAAATCAAAGTCCTGACAGGTGTTTTCAAGTTCTTAAGCTAATTAATTTGGATTCCAGCAGCCATTTTGCCCTATGGAGAAGACAGGGAAATGGCTGTGGAAGTCTCTGCACAGGAAGCCTCTCAAAAAATCCCTACCAGACCCATAATGTCTTGTAGCTCCCACAGAACATAGCCCCCATCTTCTTCCCAGGAGGAAAATGGCTGCTTGACCAAATAAAAAAATGGTGATTCATTTTGATCAATTATTCGTCAAGGTTAACAGACCAATGAATAAGAATATACAAATATTCTCTGAGGAATCGACAGATTAATCTGTCGATTTGTCTGCACTTTAAACTGCTATAAAACCGGCCCCTAAGCACCTAGAGACACCAAATATATAGGGAAGCTTCCTCAGACGCTTTCCTACAACTGAAAGTTTGCTGAACCTTGGCTCACGGACCCCCGAGTTATACAGTCACAAAGAGGACCCCCCAGGAAAGCTGCCCCCAGGTACTTAAGACTCCGAAATCACAACGGAGCTTCCTATGTCTTTCCCCAGCACGCCTGCCAACTTTGGTGAAGACTGGATATCGGATATCCGAGTTATTCATCCACAAATTGGACCCCCCCAGGAGAGTTTACCACATGGCACAGAAGCCCATTCTGCCTACCGGCCGCCAATCAGCTAATCAGAAGCCAATAAGCAGCCACCCCAACAGCCTATCCCCACACTCCTTCCTTTCCCTAACTTAGCCCCCATTCCACTCCAACTGACATTTTGGTCCCCCAGGAGAGTTTACCACATGGCACAGAAGCCCACTCTGCCCACCGGCCACCGATCAGATGATCAGAAGTTGATAGGCAGCCACCCCACACACACAGCCAGCCACCCCAACAGCCTGCTCCCACACCCCCTTCCTTTCCCTACCTTAGCCCCTACCTTAATAGCTACTGCCGAGGTCTCCATCAGGCCTTCACAGCCACAGCGTGTAAAAAGGGAGACTTGCTGCCCTTTGCAAAGATGGTGGCTGTGGCTTCAAATAGGGTAGGGAAACTACAGCTACTATCTTTGCAAAGGGCAGCCTGGAATCCCTTAGCCGCTAAGGGACCTTGGCAGCAGCGATTAAGATAAGAGGGTGTTGGTGGGGGTGGGGCAGTGTGGGGAAAGGAAGGAGGTGGGGGTAGGCTGTGGTATTCTGTAGCTGTGTGGGGTAGTGGCTGCCTTTCTGCTGCCGATCAGCTGATTGGCAGCCAATAGGCAGAATGGTGTTTTGTGGTTGGGTTTTTTTTTTGTTTTTTTAAATACAAAGAACGAATAAAAACGGGTAAATATTCATCCCTTCATATTCGTGGGGGTCTCCGGAACCCACAGATATGGATCAACGAATATTTTAAACATGAAGGACGAATAAAAACAGGTAAATATTCATTCCTTCTTATTCGTGGAGGTCTCTGGAACCCACAAATATGGATCAAGGAATATTTAATGAATCCGCTATATTCGTCGGAAAAAGCGATCCGTTTTTATTTTCTTCCCCATCTCTAATCTGAATCCGTTAGCTTAAAACTTGAAAACACTTGTTAGGACTTTAATCTCTTGATTTAAAACCCTCCAAAAGTTTGTCTAGAGGAATTCCTGGCTGTAGTCCACAAATTCTGAAAATCCTATGCTTAATGGTATCCAGTTATGACCTTACTGCAATATTTAATATAAAATTCATATACTGTACATTGGTTTGTGGCTTTATTATTTCTAGTGTCTGCCAAAAAAAAACAACACCTGACATTGAGGAATTTATTTAGCAAGCATCAGTTTGTCCTTCACTCTTATTCTAGTTTGTACAGAAACCTGGCTCTGATATTGACAGGAACCTTGAAAGGTGATTTGTATTGTATATACTTTACTGGAAACACTTTATAAAATAATTAATAAACTATCTTGAATAATACACTAGATCCTATTGTTAGCAGAACTAAAAGGGACAAGACTATAAAAAAAGATGGGGAACACAGATATGTAGTTTTGTGGTTTTGTACTACAACTCCTAGAACCTCCCAGAAAACATGACTAGTAGCCAGGCTGCCTATGGAATCCTGGGATTTGTAGTCCAAGAAAACTGATCTGCAGACTTCTAAGGGGCAACCTCTGGCTTGTCAGATATTTTTCTACTGCGATTTCCATCAATCGCAGAGGGCACAGCCAGTGCAGAGGATAATGGGAACTGGAGTTCAACAACATCTGGAGGACCACATATTTTCGATTCTTGATATAAAGATCTTCATTCTATGTTCAGTAAATACCAAGTCTTACAGCTTCTGTGCAATTTCTGTTGGTTCCTCTGTACACTTTAGTTTATCCTTGCTGATCCAAAAGTCTGCTCCATAATGGGCAATGTCTTCGACAAAATCAAGGCTAGAGTAAGGGGCTGCTGATCCCTCAAATACAGTACTCTCGTGTTCAAACTAGTAAGGAAATCAACCCAGACGAGATTTACCTGCATACAAAACCCAGTTCTGCTTAAAGGAGATGGTACGTCATGCTAAAGAGTTTCATAGTAGTTTTTCATTAATAGCAGAATGCAAGACTTGCCTTCCTATTATTTGGTTTAGTATTTGACTGCAAACCTAGTTCATGATTTTACTCTTCTGCACTGATAGGCCTTCCTTATAGTAAAGGCCATCTGCAGTAACTTAACACAGATTTTTCACCTAAGTAATTTTCTACTAGCAGCATTCCCCCCTGATTTTCAAGTAATTGTTTCCAAGAAAAACTGAAAGATGTGCAAGGCAGCAAAAGGCTTCCAGAACACATACTTCTGCTACAAACAAATGTTCCCTGCCTCCATGAAGATACACTTCTGGGTTGTCTTCTGTTAACAGTTCAGCATGTTAACACCTCAGCCTTTCACAAGCCTGTATTATTTTTTTCTGCACAATTCAACAACAGCCCCATACTATGGGTTCGGGTTGGCCAAGAATCAATGGCTACTTCACTACTATGTAATTTCTGAAGACATCCAGAAGCTATGAAGTACGTGTGGCATCCCAGATGCTTCTTTAATTCCAGTTTCCATTATTCTAACCACTCTGGACAAAACTGAGGCATGATGGGAGGAGCACGTCATGAATGAATGACAGCCAAGATTCCTCATGCTTGACACAGATATCTGGGAACATCTGCAGAGGAGAATTCTGAAATTCAGGAAAAGCCATCAAATATGTTTCTCTTCCTATCTCTGTAAGACCAGATTTGCACAGATGGGTCATTTTATGAGAGCATATGAAGCACTTTCGAAGATCCTGACTGCACTCAATGCATTTTACGTAGCATTCACAGGGCTATGAGGAGTTTTGAGAGAAAGCTTTTCATTCAAATATTCAATATGTTTGGAATTCTGAACTTTGTTGGGTCTGCTATTTCAAATTTGCATCATCAACTCTCAGAACAAGAGTACTATATATGTCTGCAAAACATGTAACAGCTCTATATAACACACAACTTACCTGATCAGTATATATATCAGGTGGTACCATCTTAGTAAAGAAATCTGAGCACACAGCTCCTGCTTGAAGATAGTAGTGAAGGGCAGCAGAGTACTGGTTTGTTGCTGCGTTGAAAACACACATCAAAACAAAATCAGTTAATGCAAGATCACTCAATAATTATTTGTGTTATTCATGGCATTATTCATCCTGGTACTGTAAACATATTGAGGGGAACATCCAGCTACACCGCCTCCACAGTCACATTCTTCACAGTTTCAGTGTTGGATCTAAATGGAAGGGTCCATGTAGGCTTTACATGCAAGACAGGAGCCCTGGAAAATCTGTGCCCTAAAAAGGGCACAACGTTTTGTCCTTCCCTTCTTTTGGGCAGATAGAAAACTCATTAGATACTAAAAACTTGGCTTTTCAACATGCAGGGCCTGAAGTAGAACTGAATTCAGTTGTTTTCTGAAATCAGTAACATGATTAACAGCTTATAAGAAAAGTGTTCACACTGAAAAGGAAATTGAGCATGATGAGAGCAAGGCATATATAACACACAGGGAGGGAAATTGGGATTCAGATGTCAAAATTTTACTTGTTGATAAAGATGTCTCAAATTAAAAGGATTTGTTTCATTTGTGACTCCAGATATCTACTTACCAAAATAAATATCAGCCTGAATGATTAACCAGAAGTGATTGTTTGAATTTATAGTCAATGCATAATTGACTAGCTCTTTGATAGTAACAGACACCGCTTCAAAATCCACTGACTGTAAGCTAAAAAGTTAATATTTTATACGTTAGTCACTATATGTAAATTTTAAATGTAGCTAAAATCTGAAGTTATTAGGTACTACATTAACATGTTTTCTGAAGTATTTCCCACTTGGGCGTAATGGAGGTGATCAGCAAGAAGCAGAAAAGTTCTTTAAATAGGTTCAAGGAATACCTGCAAGAACACTTCCATTATACCATTTTCCACAAACGGGAAAAAGAAATACTCTAGTCTGAAAAAAAATCTGTTTGTAACAGTCTATCCAAGATGGGAAAATACTCTCAGCTGATCTGGAATGCTCCACTCCAGACAGCGTTTTCTCATCAATGAACCTACAGTACATTGGGCATACTGCAATAAGGAACCTCACCAGGGCTATATGCAGCCAAAAATGGAATTTCATTCTTGGTGATGTGTTAAAATCACCAAGGGTTAAAATAATTCCTATATAACACATTTTTAAAAGTGCCCTGGCTCAGTAAGAAAAAAGATTGCCTCATAACGTTCTATATATTCTGTTGCTACAATCCCTCCATGCCCATGACTAAATCCAAACATCTAACTTAGAACAGTTTAGGACACCTAGATCCAAATCTATTAAGAACAACCTTCAGAACATGGCCAAAGAGTCCGAAAAACCCACAACAACCAAATCTATTACTTTATCAGTCTATTCACATCCTACTGTAGCAAAGAGAAGTGGATGGAGGATGAAACTTCATTCTCCTTCCTCCTTCTAAGGCAAAGATGAATAAAGTTATGGCCCATGTTTGCCTTAGCTGTCGGTCAGCCAAAATGCAAGTAGGGCACCCTGTTTCTGCATGCAGGAACACATGCTCACACTCCCCATACCCATTTGGCTCCTTAAACCCACATCACAGTGCATAGGCACCTGGAGGTCTAAACTGGCATATCAAAATGCCAACGCATCTTGATATGCCAGTTGGGCATGCATCTCAGGAGCACTCCTTAGCTGTTGCCAGAATCAGACACAAGGACACAATCTGAAACAAGGGGCTCCAGACTAAATAACAAACACTTCTCAAAAGTTATAATGGAGCTGGAAAAAAAACACCAGCCTTACTTGGGAATAGATGATGGCCAGATTGAAATATGCTCTGCTGTGATATCATTCACAATGTCTTCCTGCAAAAAGGAAATATATTACACATGAAATGAGGCAGATATATTACGTAAGACATGAGACAAAAAAGATAACAAATTCAGCTAGTTATGATAAAGTGGTGAATATACTGACCCGAACATTGTGAAGTTTGACAAATAAGGATAATACTGTTGTCAAAACCAGAGGCTCCTACAAGAATAGTGGAAAAATATAAGATTATGGCAAATGGTGGTTCTCAATGGTAGCAATTTTTCTAGATAAATGTTCATAAGGCTTCCACTACTTTAAATTTCTGTATTCTCGTTACACTACTGAGTGGTAGAAATCCTTTGAAATACATGAAAGATTCTTATTAGCTTCAGGTACAAACTGGAACCCTTTCCACAAGACATGGTTAAGTCAATTCTCACTTTTATCAGTTCTGGAAATGAAAACTTAAAAACCACACTATCACACAGATTTTTCAAACTACTGTCTTCCTGTATCTCAACATTTTAAAAAAAATCCATTATGCTATAAAAAGCTGGCTAGATAGTTCAGTGAGTTAAGTATCTGTCTGCAAAACCAGAAGCTGGGAGTTGGACTCCCTGCTCTGCCTTTTGGAGGAATGGACAGCCTGTGTAACCTTGGGCAGCCTACACAGTCCCCGAAGGCCCCACAAAGAAAGGAACAGTAGAGCACTTTTGAAATCCCTGGAAAACAGTGGCTGTAATCAACCTGATAGCATGTGATAACAATGATGACAGCACATAAGTGTTCTTCACGCTTTAGAGTTTGGCTGGTAGTATTTGTCTGAATCAGAAAATAATGTTTATTCCTTCCTAGGGATTTACTATTTCCAATGTTTCTGACAGTACCTAAATATTTATTTCTTACTTCCTAATTTTAATGCAGTCTCTGTTAATTCAACAGTAATTTAAGGGTAAAGCAGGAGTAAGCAACCAAATAAAACTAACACAGCCTATTAATAAAACAAAACCAGGAGTAAGCAACCAAATAAAACTAACACAGCCTATTAATAAAACAAAACTACTGCTCTTTGGAAAGTTAAAAGACATCCCATTGAGAACACAGAACTTGTCAGTTGTCTTTTTGGGGCTGTGGCTAATTAGTTGAAATTTATCTAGATTCACCTAGAATCTAATAAAGTCATCCAAATCAACAGTTAACTAATGTCTTCTTTGTATGCAAGTTATCTGCTATTATTTGCTGGTTGAACTCTTTACAAAAAGTTACTTTTCTAAAGGAAAAAAGTTGTACATTCCAGCACAATATTTTCCAAAAATACCTCCAGATAAATACAGTGGACCCTCGACTTACAGACGGCTCGACTTACAGACTTTTCAAGTTACAGACTTCTCTGGCTGCAAAATTTAGATTTGACTTACAGCCTGAGAATCGACTTACAGACCAGAAAAAACCCAAAATGGAACAAAAATAGAATAAAAACCGCTGGTTATGGGATTAATCAGTTTTCAATGCATTGTAGGTCAATGGAGATTCGACCTACAGACTTTTCGACTTGCAGCCACCATTCCAATACGGATTAATTCCTTAAGTAGAGGGTCCACTGTAAGAAATAATGTTTTCATGCTTTAAACCCAATTTAATATCCCTAGCCAAACTCACCCGCAATTTTTTGATAAAAGACAGCAATTCACTCCTATAAAAGAAAAAGCGTTTATACAGAGTACTGATTTACTGAGGAGTTAATCTGTAGTAATTTGCAACTTTTCTGTGCATAAAAATTAGTAGAGACACCAAGGTTTTAAATACAAATCTTGACACAAGAGGAACAATACACAAGACAGATAAATAAAAAAGTGATTGCATGAGCAGCAGAAGAATTCTGTTCAGTAGGAGTGATAAAAGAGAAAACTGAAAATGATGATTAAACAGAACTGGGGCCTAAAGGAAAATTCCACACTGTATCCTCAGTTTCTGACAAGGATATTTCCAAGGATATTTCCATTCAGGCTTCTGAGCATTTCACTCTTCCATCTATCCAACCAACAGTCAATATTCTGTGGTTATTAAACATGCTGTTCTTAAACATTTCTTGCCACTTTAGCTTAACTTTTTAAAAGTTTCTTTCACTTCAGAGAACATCAGGATTCTCAGGGTCATGTCTAGTCCTCCTTAATTTTTCAACAGTCCTTTTCTGACTCTAGCATTTGGCCTTTGTCATCTAAGTACACTCTTACAGCGGGAGAAACTTAACTGTGAATGGGATCCCTATATATGTAATACACACAAAGATTTTAGCATGTTATGCACATATATTACAAGGTAATCTTCATGAGTTCACTCCATATGCTTTTCATAAATGATGCCATAACTAACAGAGTAGCGAGAATGAAGGAGTAGAACAACATGGTGACTACTTAAAATGCTGGCTCTAGACACAGAAAGTGAGTGTTATTTATTCTGGCTTTGAGTGGTTAAATACAAAACTATGGCCACTTACCTGTACATAATGCCTAATGTAGATTCTCTCTGCTTTATTAAGCTCACTCTGCCATCATTCCCTCGTTTGTGTTGGTTGGATACACTGCAGATCTGCACAACAGCCTCCCAGAGATCTTTAGCTGCTCGTCTACTTTCTTTGGGTCCAGGAAGATCTTTACACGTGGCAGCCAAAAGCTGTCCTAACTAACCAAAACATACTATCAAGAATAAGGCACACAGTATCTTTCAAGGCTTTACAGATGCAGTATTTCCCCATCCAGCAATCTAAAACTAGGACAATGAATTAAAGAACAAAATCCTGAGCTATAATTCAGAGAGCTACTTCTGATACATGCCCAGGATTTGATTTTATTTCAGAGAGAAGAGCAGACATGGCATATACACATTGCACAAGGAATTTCCTGTTTAAATAGCACATACCACCTTTTCAGACACAGGGAACTGATAAATCCTTTTTTTAACAATGTAAATTTTTATTGTAAACAAAAGATTGTAAACTTTGTAAATAAAATTTTGTACAGACATTGAGGAGTTGCTATAAACAAACAAAAAAAGGGGTGGGAGAGAATTACAGTCATAGGTAAAACTAAGATGCTTCTATGAGCTGTGGCCCCTGTAACAACAGACTGGGACTATGTGATTTTCAAATGTGAATACAATTACAGTGGTGCCTCGTTTAACGAGTGCCCCGGTTAACGATGAATCCGCATAGCGATGGCAAAAAAGCAAACTCTTTTGCCATCGCTTTGCGATGTTCCCTATGGGGAAAAATCGCTTTGCGATGTTTTCCCCATGGGCCCCATTTTCCCCCAGCTGAGTGGTGGGAGCCTCCAAAGGACTGCTCCCGCTGCTCAGGTGGGGGAAAATGCCGGTGGTAGCCTCGGAAGGACCCTTCCGAAGGGTCGTTCCAAGGCCACCGC